ACTGCAAAGCTACTGAAGACAGGGACGGTCATCATAATTATTTATGATATGTTTGATTGTTTATTTTGTTTTGGTGTGGGCGTATATAGGTATGTGTGTGTTTGTGTGTGCGTGTTTGGTGGGTGTGTAGTTTGAAGTTGCGAAGTTTGCCATGTAGAGGGGCGTGTATGTGGGTGTGCGTAAGTTTGACAATGTTTAAATGTATACACTCCTTCTCTGTAACCTTCATAATTGATATCAGTTGATATCTTCCCTTTACCAGTATTAACATCCGAGTAGATCGAATGATCATCCATGAAGACTGGGTGCGTCGTTAATAGTTATATGTTTCATTTGTTTTATAACGTGGGTGTGTACGAATGTGATTTTGTGCGCGTGTGCGGGTGTGTGTGCGTGATGTGGTATGGGCATGTGTGATAAAGTTTGATAGTGCTTAAATGTTACACTTTCACTTTTTAACCTTCTAAAGTAATGTTGATGTTTATCGCCACTTTGGCAAATAGAACAAATAAAGTATTGTTTAGTAATATTTCTCTTGTACGATATCAAAAGCAGTTATTACCATGTTTAGTAATAAGTTGTACCGTAGTAAAATGCATCTATGCAACATGTTATCTTTCGCACACTATACGATGATATTATCTGACCATTCTTCCCTTTCTAAAAGAACGAACGACCCAGCTTCATTTGTGTTTGTATTCCTCTCAAGTCTCAATTTTATCAAACATATTATCAGGAGCAAGTTTCGTTTTATAAAATTTAATGACTCTAGTGACCTTTGTTACCATTGTGACGATTGTTCAAGTACAGAATTGTCCATGGTTTGAGCACTAGTTGATGTCTCTTAGAGGTAATTTCTTTGCTCCTTGGCAACAACATATTAATGTGATTTAAGTGTCACGACATTTCTATAGAATAGTTTCTACATCTCTGAAACACAGGATGTAAATGTAACTTTTATTCTTCTTTTTTCTCAATTGTGTACAATTCTACTTGTAATACTATTTTAGTGTAATTTCGTTTCTTGTGATAATGTTAGTATCAAAATGAATATAGTAAGTAAGAGCAGATGGATAAGTTGACTGACCACATCTGTGGTTTTTGATCACCCCCTCTGCAGGTTCATCTTTTGTTTTAATGCTTTTATATTTGATTTTAATTTATACTGTCTTTTATGAATCTGTGGAAATAAATGAAATTGAAATTGAAATTGAAATATGGAAAACTGCAAAGTAGTAAATAATAAATATGTAAATTATACCATCTGTTTTTTTTTTAAAGCGTTTAAATCACATCCACATTTTCTATCCCCAAAAAAAAGAAGCTGAAATTCCACTGAATAGTGGCTTGTTAAAGACGTGTACAACGGTCAAAAATCATTTCGATTGTTACAATGACAAAAGCCTCTTTTTCTGAGTGGCTTTGGTAAAACGTCGTATGTGAGAAAATATCATATCTGCATATCTGCAAGTGCAGTAGTTGTTAAGCATTCATCACTAAATAGCTTTATTTAGTACCCACTTTCATGTTACAGTCTTCAAGATGAATACTTTTTAGTCTGTATAAAATATAACAAACACAAATAAATAAAGGGGAAAATAGCACCTATACTCTGTCTCTTCCTCTCTCTCTCTCTTTCTCTCTCTCTCTCTCTAACTCTCTCTCTCTCTCTCTCTCTCTGTTCTTTCTCTCTGTTCTTTCTCTCTGTTCTCTCTTTCTCTCTCTCTCTCTCTCTCTCTCTCTAACTCTCTCTCTCTCTCTCTCTCTGTTCTTTCTCTCTGTTCTTTCTCTCTGTTCTCTCTTTCTCTCTCTCTCTCTCTCTCTCTCTCTCTCTCCCCCCTCTCCTCTCTCTTTCTCTATATCTCCTTCCCTTTCACATTTTCGTTCTATATCTACTTTCCCTTATCTCTAATTCTCTTTCTGTTTTTGTTTTCTTCTCCTTGTTTATTGTTCTCCTTCTGTTTCTAATTCCTCATATCTTTTATCCCTTTATATGTCTCTATTTCTCCCTTTGCACCCCTTTTGTTTATATTACTCTGTCCCTCTCGTTCAATTTCCTTTCTTTCTTTCTCTCTCTGTCTCTCTCTCTCCCCTCCGTCCCAATTATTTGTCTTCATTTATTCCCCCTCTCTCTCTCTTGCTTTGTCTCTCGCTCTCTCTAGTCTCTCTCTCTCTCTCTCTCTCTCTCTTTCTCTTTCTCTCTCTTTCTTTGTCGCTCTCTCTCTCTCTCTCTCTCTCTCTCTCTCTATCTCTCCCTCGCTCTCTTTCTCTCTCAACACACTCAAGACATGAAGACATACAACATGAGGTAGATTAGGCTAATGCATGTGTAACGCTATTTTGGGCGCCAAGCCTCGCCGCCTTATGATTGGATTAGCGACAGGTGTGTCAACCAATGGGGTTAAGTCCATACCGGGACATGTCAATATGCAAATTGCTTTGAGGGTTCCTAGTGGCGCCAATGCCATGAATGCATTGCTTGCATGTCATCACCGTCTATAATCTTTGATTCTTGCTAAAAATTTATATTATGCCTTCGATATATCACTGCTTGAAGAAAAGAAAAATCATGACGAAAGTATATTGCGTAATGGTTATCGACTATTGCTCTAAAGGTTAACTTTTAACTTATTGTATTTTTTTTACAAATCTTGTTTTTAGAATGCTTTTTTTTATCATCTTGAAATTTTAATAAATAAATAAATAAATGGTTTTTGCGATGTTCCACTTTTTATTATGGATATTGTGGCATAGTCCTCAAGTGGGTTAATTATTGTAACTTTAAAACAAGGGAAAGCAATACTTTTTAAATTTGATTTCTAAAGGTATTCTCCTCACTTCATCGTTGCTTTGATTTTTTTTGTTTTTCTTTGTTTACTGTCTGTGATTACACAACTGGGTAAAGTACATATTGGGATTGTCATCGCAGCGCACTTTGGGACGCCGGCAAATGACAGACTTATCTATCAAGTTGAGATCTAATGCCATGTTAGACGTACGTTTGCCGTGTAACGGGAGACTACGTCTATGGAACTCATACGGAGGGGAGTGATTGAGAGAGCGATATGAAGATAGATAGATACAGATAGAAGGGAAAAGAGAGAGAGAGAGAGGGGTGCGAGGAAGAAATGGAGAGAGAGAAAGAGAAATGGAGAGAGAGAGAGAGACAGACAGAGATGGAGAGAGAGAGGGGTGTGTATGTGGGAGAGGGACAGAAACAGTGAGAGAGGGGGGATCATAAAGCAAGAGGGATCTAGGAGAGGGAGGAAAGTGAATGGAAAAGACAGAATACCGCCAGGAGGTTGACGAGTTAGAATGATAAATCGAATGATTGAGAGGGAAAAGAACGTGCGTAAAGAGAAAGAGAGAGAGAGAGAAGGGAAGGGGGGGGGGGTAAACGGGCGATAGCTAGGGGAGTTGGAAAAAGCAAATTACTGGTTAGAAGAGAAAAGGGGGTTAATGACGTAAAACGATGAATTGAGAGGAAAAAGAACGTGCGTAAAGAGAAAGAGAGAGAAAGTGGGAGAGGGGGTAAACGGGAGATGAGAAGAGGGGGTTAACGACTGAGAACGATGAATTGAGAGGAATCAAAGGCAGACTGACACAATATCAATGAGCATGTTTTCAACGTTTCCCTTTCACCATCTGACTATATATGGTGCGATTCGCATTATAATAACGTTGTTCACCACATACTTCTACTGTGTTGGATCATCATTCTATCTCTTGAAGATATTTAACTAAGCATTTTGTATTTATTTTATATACAACATCCCTGGGAATTTGTATTTACATGTATAATACTGTTATGTGATTCATGTTCTGCTTAAAAGATCTGAATGCCCGAAGCTAATGTTTTTTTCTCATTCTATTAAACTTTTCTAGTTCCTCTCAAATACAAGTATTGTACGTTCAATATTTTAAGTTCGTTTAACGAAAGAAAAGTAATAGTAGTAATAGCTGATTGGTAAAGCAATAAAGAGAGAGGGGGAGACAGGGGGGGGGGGGGTACAATGAAGAATTTATAGAAACAGACAAAAAGTGAATACAGATACAGGAAATGCTTCAAAAACGTGATGGACACTTTTACCGTTTAGTCATGCTAGAGGAACAGGAGACCTTCAACACAGTATGCACTATGACAAACTGAGGGAAAAGACGAGTAAAGTTTAATGGTTACAAAAAAAGAAACGATGTGAGACGTTGAGGAGAAACAACTGAAAATACTTGGAGGGTATGTTGGTTGCTACATCTGATAAAACAAATTTAGAATTGTCAAACGAAGTTAGTTAGGTGAACAAACATAAATTGTCACGTTACAACAATAATGCTGTTATATCGGGATTTCATCCTGGAAACAAGAGAAAAGTCTTGGATAGCGGGGAATTTCGATGGCCCCTAAAAAAGTCAAACTTGTGTTTTTTTTCTGGCCTCCAAACAGTGTATCCACTGGATGATTAGCTAATGGGGCTTTTTTGTTTGGGGAAATCATGCTTAAAATATGAATAGTTAGAAATAGTTTACAACACCACCATCCCTAACAAGCTACATAATAATCCTTATTGACTCGTACTCCAAATCCATTTACACAGGGCAATGGGTCTAGGTTATATTAACGAAATGGAGAAATTAGATCTTAGACCTTTGACAATTAATTAAGTTCCCTTGTTAAAATCGACTTTAGACCAAGATCATATCCAGTGTTGGATGTAGATTTTAGTACCGTATACAGTACCTGCTCCGGCGAAAAGATCCGCGGTATCCCCTGCCGAATCATTGATTTCAGTACTGGAAAAGTTGCTATACTTTACCCTTACCATAATCTTTGACGAAATAATGTCTGGAGCGGTTGTTGCGGGAGCATTAAGTGGATGCACGATAAGGACATCAGAGGCCTATAATTAATATGTTAGTGTTGTTGTGCGTGTTTTTTCACAGGAGAATTTGTATAACAATTCGTTTAATATTATCACTCTCTATCATTTGTCTTTCTGCAGGGTATGTTCCTTGTAGCGCTCCCTTATGCTGTCATGCACGGTGGATACTGGACCGTCCTGTCCCTGGTACTAGCTGCAATCATCACATGCTACACTGGATTAATCCTTGTGGACTGTCTCTACGACACCAACGCTATTACAGGTGAGAGGGTCCGGGTGCGTGAGACATACGTGTCCATCGCCGAAGAGGTCTGGGGTAAACGTTTCGCCTCAAGGGTTGTCCACACGGCGCAGTTCATTGAGCTCATCATGACTTGTATCCTATACCTGGTGCTCTGCGGCGACCTGCTCTACAACACCATCCGACACACTCCACTTCGGGAAAGCGCCTGGACCCTCATAGCCTGTTTTCTAGTGCTGCCTTGTGCTTTCCTGCGCAACCTCAAGGCCGTCTCACGCTCCAGCTTCGGTAACGCCATCGCCCACGTGATCATCAACGTGATCATACTGGGGTTCTGTTTCGCTCAGGCTCGACACTGGCACTGGAAGGACACGAGTCTTCGGATCCATATCCACTACTTCCCCGTGTCTCTGGGGATCGTCGTCTTCAGTTACACCTCGCACATCTTCCTACCCAGTCTGGAAGGCAACATGGTGGATCGGCGCTACTTCAAGCGGATGATGCTATGGACGCACGGTCTGGCAGGATTCTTCAAGGCTTTCTTCGGCTACGTCGCTTACCTTACCTTCGGCCTCAGCACGCAGGAGGTCATATCGGACAACCTCCCAACCCACTCCTTCAGATCTATCGTCAATTTAGTTCTTGTAGCCAAAGCGCTGCTGTCTTTCCCTCTTCCCTACTTCGCAGCCGTGGAGCTCCTGGAACGGGCCTTCTTCCAGGGCCGCCCTACAACCGTCCTCCCCTCCTGCTACTCCCACGATGGCATGCTCACCGTCTGGTCCATTCCTCTCCGGCTACTCCTAATCTGCGTCAGTGTTCTCTTAGCCGTCTTCATCCCACATTTTGCAATCCTGATGGGGCTTATAGGAAGCGTTACAGGGACCATGTTGTCCTTTATCTGGCCATGTTGGTTCCATCTCAGGTTAAAGTGGCATGAACTAAAATTGTGGAACAAAGTGATAGATATCCTCATTATGTTAGCAGGTGCCGGGTGCGGTTGTATAGGAATCATCTATTCATTTGAAGCTCTTGTCAAAACGTATGTGGAGTCATAGCTAGAGTAGATTTACCAACCGTATTAAGCATAGATGTAAATACCTTGAAAATGTTTATTACAGTGATATAAATTAAGAATGAGAACTGTCACGTACGAGTTGTTAGGGTTATTAGTAGTGCAATATTCTGTCATTGTTTCTTGATGCCTGATTCTTTTGAATAATAATGTAAACATTCACTCCATCCAGTTGAAATCAATATCATCAGTCTCATGTTTTCATGAGGGCAACATTATCAGCAAAAATTAGAGTCAAGCTTCGAGATAAACAGATAAAATATGCTGGAAAATTAGGTTACAATCAATAGCTGGCTACACAAGTAAGTAAGAAACGTAAGGATGCACCTAAAATACGTTTTGAAATGGTTAAGAAACAATCATCTTACCATTATAATGTAGGACATTATTTACATGTAAAAAAAATGTATTTCCTTTTGTTTTCAACATAAGATGAAAAATAATTGTGTCCAACCGAATTGTTTTGGGCAATGTCACCTTTTACTACAATATGTTGTTGTCCTTTATGTCCTACCTAGCAAAACGAGTGTATGCAATCCGTATTCTGAATAGTGAGGTGCAATTATTCGTCGCAGGTTAATGAAATAATTCGTATCGGGCACTCCACTAAGACGTTTGCATCACATTTGATTACATTACAAAGAAAGGCTTATTTAGCAAAAAATTAATGGGAGTTGGGCATATAATTGGCCACGACACGGTTGGACATGTCATTGCGTCCACGTTAGGCAAATTTTACCCAAGGTTTTTACAGTGCAGAATTGTTCTTGTATCAATATCCGTCCCGCTTGATTGTGACATTAAATAATGTTGCTATCACTTATGGTCCGTTTGACATGTTTAATATAATTTATGATGGTAAAGATGAGAGGAATTCTTTTTTTTTAATAACCATCAATAATCAAATTGCAAATGATGTAAAATAGATCAACGTGATAGATTACACATTTTAACAAATTAATGTAAATAGGCCTATTCAGTATTGGTGCTTTTAAAATGATAACAAATATCAGTTAGGATAAGTGAGGAGAAGGAAAGGGGGGGGGAGGATCCCCCCCCCAAAAAAAAAAGCGATTTAGCGCTTTGGAAATCATTATGCCCGTACAATCAAGATAGTCATGGTATCAATATAGGAGTTTTTTTGTTTTTTTTAATAGAAATCGATCTTTATAAACAAATCCATGTATTATAGTTTAATTAAACTAACCAATGATAACAAGCAGATGACTAGATTTGGATTTGAGAGATAAGATGAATTCGACTTTCATGACGTTTATGACTTGTTAAACATTGATATTTCGTCCAACATCCCGATAATTCCATGTGTGAGTCAATGCACTTTGCAGGCCCGATGTAAGCGTTGTATTTTGTCAGTTGGTTCGGAAGTGAGTAAATAGCCTAATAAAAGTGAATTTATTATTTACATGAAAGCCTTTTTATTGTCTTGATATACTGTTTTGTCTGCAAATCATGTAAATTGTAGCTTTATACTTTCATGTCTGTTAGGAGCGGATGCTAACTCATATGATTTAACACAAAGCTAGTGCCCATTTGGCTCTCATTAAGCAGATCACCTCAAAAGTACATGTATACATATTAACTCTTTCTCCCTTTTTCGCATTTATCTCTGCGAGACAAAATCAACCACAAAGTCATACGCCAGAAAACAATGGTTAAAGACATCATGGAGAAAGTCAGAGAATCAAAATGGAAATGGGCTGGGCATGTAGCAAGACTTCGGGACAATAGATGGACAAATCGTTTAACAGAATGGCAACCAAGGATGGGAAAGAGAAGAAGAGGAAGGCAGAAGAGAAGATGGAGATATGACCTAACATCATACATGGGAACGGCCGCTTGGACTAGGACAGCTAGAGACAGAAGAGAATGGAAATTTCATGAGGAGGGCTTTGTCCAACGTCTGGATGAACTATACCCTGATAGATAGATAGATAGATAGATAGATATGTGTTACAGTGATCATGTTTAAAATAAGTATAAGGTGCCGAGAAGTGTTTTGTTAGAGCCCCCCCCCCCCCAACGCACACACACATACTTGCACTATTTTGTTCTCAGCTATAAATACAGTGGTATTACTCCAACATCATAAAAAACAAATACATTGACTCAATTGGCCTATGTCTTTTTTTAAAATTATTATTTGTTTGTGTTCTGTCACTTAGTAATGATTTGTTTTTATTCTTGTTGACCTTTTTTGTGTATGTTGATATGTTTGATAATGCTATAGTTTGGTTTGAAATGCTTTGATGATATTACAGTTGTTTGATGATAATCCATTCGTGTTAGGTTTTTTGTTTTAATGAAAAATAATAGATTCTAATTCAATTGATTTATATGGAACTTGACCCAGTAAGATGGGGATGCAAACAAAACTAGAATAAAATAAAATCACGACTGAGAAACAGAAATCTAGTCACCACTAGTGATTGTCTGTCTTTCCCCATGATTTTCATATTTTTTCCGTATTGATATATTTTAGTTGTTGTTTCTTGCTTATTTGTTTTTTCTGCTTTAACATTCTAGTTCGTTTGACGTCGGACTAATTAAATGTACATAACGTCAATTACCCCCCCCCCCCTTCCACTAAGCTCCCTCCCTTGCAAACACTATGAATGCTTTGTTCACAGTGTTATGGTTTTGAAGTGCGAATGGAGAGAAGATCAAAGGCGCCTCGCTTGCAGTTTCATAAGAAATCAGAAAACAAAATAGGTTATTAATTAGGCCAAGATGGGAAGCCACAGTATAGACCGAAAAGCATTTATGTGGGTCAGGCTACGGCCCCCCTCCCCATCTCGTCGATTTGGAAAGGGGAACACAAAACCAAATTTTCCACAGGATATTTGTCCGTTCATTTTTGTTCAAAATAAAAAAAACAAATTGCTTTTTAAATCCATTGTGGAGTGGAAATGTTTCCTCCCATTCTCGAGGATCACACACTTCCTGAAAAAAGTATCAAATATCATGAAAACTAAATGTGTCCCTTTTTTTACATTATTCCTCATATAACTATTACCTTAGAAATTACCTTTTTCGGTAGACAGCGAAAATTGCGTGTAGAGAAAGAGCAAACGTCAAACACACTCATGAGCTATCTAGGGACTTTTGCATCAAATCCTTCATCAGAAT